GTCCTTACTTATGTCCATTCACACATCTGACTTGTTCATTTGTAGCTGTGTTCCCGATTTTGCCTTTGCCCATACATCATTGTGTAAGTCCTTTATGATGTTCTTTCATCAATCTGACTTGATGGTTTTAGGCTGTGTCCCCTCCTTTTGCCTTTGTCCACCTACACACCTCACTCCACCCTTTTTGTAAGTTCTTTTCATGGTCTGTTTCACCAATCTGACTTGTTTGTTTAGACTGCATCCCTTTCCTATAGTTCTTTGTAAGTCCTTTATGCCATGCTTTACTTGATCTAACTTTGGGGATTGCAGTAATACACATGTCTTTTGTTGGCTGTTCCTTCACTGTCTTTACCCATGGCTATCCTTCCACTCTTTACTTACGCATTAATATCCTTCACTCAGTTTCGACTTCACTCTTTACTTACATATTAATATCCTTCACTCAGTTTCGATCAAGGCACTTGCTTGATTTTCTATCAACCCACTCAATCACTCCCTTTTGATTACGCTTACATCACAAATACAGATTTGAAGATATATCTTGACTTAGGATATATTTTGATTATGCTTACATCACAAATACAGATTTTGGTTCAAAATATATTTTGAAGATATATCTTGACTTAGGATATATTGGAAAGAAATAGATCCTGGTTTGAAATATATCTGGATTCATTTTATAGTTCAAAAATATATCTTGGTAATATATCCTCCTTCAAGATATAGTTCAATAATATATCTTGATTCAAGATAAAGTAGAAAGATATATCCTTGTCCAAGATATAGCTTAAAAATATATCTTGGTGATATATACTGGTTCAAGATAAATTTGAAAGATATATCCCTGTTCAAGATAAAGTTGAAAAATATATCCTTGTTCAAGATATAACTCAAGAATGTATCTTGGTAATTATCCTGGTTCAAGATAAAGTTGTAAGATATATCCTGGTTCAAGATATAGCTTAAGAATATATCTTGGCAATATATTCTGGTTCAATATCTTGTTGAATATATATCTTTGTTGAGGATAAAGTTGAAAAATATATTGTTCAAGATATAGCTTGAGAATATATATTGGTGATATATCCTGGTTCAATATCTTGTTGGAAATATATCCTGGTTGAAGATATAGGTGAAATATATATCCTGGGACAGGATGTAATTGAAATATATGTCTTGTGAATATATCCTTGTTCAAGATAAAGTGGAAAGATATATCTTGATTCAGCATCTAATTAAAATATTCATGATATGGTTCAGAAATTATGTATCTGGATTCATGATATGGGTGAAATATAGATCTTGGTTCAGGATTTAGTGCAAAGATATGTGTGACTCCATACTATGACAGGGTGAATAGAATTCATTGTCCCTAAATTTCCAATCAAAACTCAAGAGAAGAGAGAGGAAGACAGGGAGAGAAGAAGAGGAGGGGAGGAAGAAAGGAAGAGAAGGAGAGAAACAACAAAGAACTTGGTGAACTGTTGTCTGTGAAGGATGGTAATACAGATGTGGGTGAGGTATGCAGATAAGGTGCAACTGAAGAGAGAAGAAGAGAAAGATCAAAGAACTTTGTCAGAGCTCTTTGTCCATAAATTTACAATCAAAACTCAAGAGAAAGAGGGAGGAAGCCAGGAGAGAAGAAGAGGAGAGGAAGAAAGGAAGAGAAGGAGAGAAACAACAAAGAGCTTGGTGAACTGTTTGTCCATAAATTTACAATCAAAACTCAAGAGAAAGAGGGAGGAAGGTAGGGAGAGAAGAAGAGGAGGAGAAGAAAAGAAGAGAGGAGAGAAACAACAAAGAATGTGGTGAACTCTTGTCTGTGAAGGGTGGTAATACAGATGTGGGTGGGGTGTTCAGATAAGGTGCAACTGGAGAGAGAAGAAGAGAAAGATCAAAGAACTTTGTCAACTTGCTGGTAATACAGATGTTGGTGAACTGTGCAACTGAACAGAGAAGAAGAGAAAGATCAAAGCACTTTGTCAACTTGATGGTAATACAGATGTGGGTGGGTATGCAGATATGGTGTAACTGGAGAGAGAAGAAGAGAAAGATCAAAGCACTTTGTCAACTCAGAGGGTGTTTCAAGGCAGCTAAAGAATTTCATAGTACAAACTGTATCTATAGTGTCAAAGTGGATAATATGCAAGCAACTACTCAGGTAGGTTGCAGATGCTATTGATGCCCCTTATTGCTACCTACATACTGGGAGGACAGACCAGACATACTGCCAAAACCCCTGGAAATCATTGCAGAATCTTCCAGAATATATATCCCAGACAGCAAAAAAATCACAAGTTTTTTTGGTGAAANCTA